GCTACGGGACCCTCCCCCTATGCTGTATCATGATGGAGGAAGAAAAGAGAAAGAAGAAGAGAAGAGGGAGGAGAATGGGAGTCCTTTTTTATATAGTCACATCCCAGGTACCTTCCCAAAATGGATGGCCCTTCGCTCTTGCCTTTTTTTACCTCAGGCACTCAGGCAGGGTCACTATGTGTAGTTTCTTATGTATTACTATCATTGGTTTTTACACTCATTAACAAAGTCTACGGCAAACCGGGATATAGTTATTGTGATTTTTGATTTGATTTAGTATTTCGTGCTATCATAAAAGCTACAGAGGAAGGGTATTATCCCAGACAAGGATCACTGCTTCCACTTCAGGGGAATACAGCGAATGCAGTTTCGGAGTTCTTTCAAGATACTCCAGGTCATCAGTTTGAACAAATAAGAAAAGGCCATGAATCTCAAGGTGGAATTCAGGATCCGTGGGCTGTATGCAACAAGATCAACCCATAACCGAACGCCGTCGCTAAAAGAACAGTAAAAAATAAAAAGCAAAAAGCAAAGATGATTGCGTGAACATGTAGAAAACATATCCATGGAGTCACCCCCGGTCTTAGACAAGAGAGATAGCCTACTGGCGTTCAGGTTCTTCACCAGTGGGCTGGCTCTTGGGTGCGTCGGTGGTGAGCGCATCCGAACTGAAGAACCCGGAGTCAGGAATGACAACATCATTGAAGTTGAAAGGGATGAGGTCGGGGTTGAAGTTGTCTTTCTCATTGGGGTTGTCTGAGAAAAGAGCGCTGAGCAGCTCGTCGGCAGGAGTTTCGGAAGATCCAGCAGGGGAGGCATAGTCCGTTGGAAGCCACTCGGCCCAGTTTTCACCGGTGAACTTGCTGTTCTCCATTTCGAAGAAAGCATCGGCCTTGTCGGCGTCATCGAAAATGTCGAGCATCATGCCATCGAAAGACTCGAAGGATTCTGGAAGACTGTCGTTGGCAGGCTGTGGTGCCAAAGACTGTTGCTTAGCCGGGGACTTCTGTTGCCGTGGCGATGACTGAGGACTTCCGTGAATTGATTGGATACGCTGCAGGCGCTCTGCGGACAGTCGAGCTGGAGACATAACCGAGCCTAGATCCTTGCGTTTGTTGAGGCTTGGGGAGTTTGCGGGGAAAGAGAGACGCTTGTCAATCGCATTGATACGCGGGTTGCGTCGGCGAGGAGTAGGGCTTGCTGAATCAAATCCAATCGAGGGACTTTCGAACAGATCATCGAGGTCATCACGCGGAGTGGGTACATGGTTCTCCTTCTGTTGACCCGGCTTGTCATCTTTTGTGGAGGCAATACGAGGACTGCGACGTGGGGAGCAGTTGTTCACCATAGAAGAATCAAGCTCCTTTAGTGGCCCGTCATTCTGGGAATTCTGGAAAAGTGACCTTCTCAAAGGCCTGGGGGTAAGACTATTGGCATCTGTCATTTGAGCAGACCGGGCGTGCATACGGCTCACTGGGCTAGACTTGGTGGCGCGCGCCAGTACCTCTCTGGCATCCTCCTTGGACCATCGGCGTCCTGGGGTGTCAAACGTCCCTTCCAACTCGGCGCTGGTAGCCCGAGGAGACTCGTTGGGAGAATAATCCGCCTCGTCATCATCGTTGTCCATTTGGGGAGTCTCCCCATCGGGATGGACAGAAGATGCTTCAGTAGGTGCTGGAGAGGAAGCCAAAGGTTTCTTTGGTGCGGCCTTGCTCCGAGTTCTGGCAGCAGGGCAGGACTTGGCCTGACCCTCTCGGCTCCTGGAAGGACGCTTTTTGTTGTTTTTCTTGGCCGGTTTCGCTGCTCCTGGCTTGGTCCATTTGTCTTCTGGGCGCATTTGTTTAAATTTGTGGAGCCACAGACCACATGGATTGCAGAAGGTCATTTGATCCCAATCATTATCGTCCTGCTCGAGGGCCTTTTTGTAGATCTTGAAACATTCCACTTCACCCTTATCGTTTCGGTCCACGGCCTCCCAATAGAGCATGGGGGAAGACTTCATCATATCTTCGGCAAGGCTTTCGCCACCCTTAACTGTTTTCACCCATGCTCGCCGCCAGCTGGCGGTTTCGATGGAGCCGCAATTCTCGCAATATGGCGGAATTAGCCCGTTGAGAATGGCATTGTCCAAGCGTGCCTTTATGTTCTTCGGCACCGGCTTGGACCCTTGCTTTGTCGATGACTTTGGCTTTGAAGGTTGCTTCGACTGCTTGGAATTGGAACTAGCTGTCTCACATGGCATGAAAGTGACATCCACAGGCGCAGCAGAGCGAGCAGGAACAACAGGGTCACTAGCGGGAATTGCGCGGAACATTTGGGGAACTTCATTGTGGTAGATGTGTGGCGCCGGTGCGAGGGGTTTGGGGGCCAAGCGTTGTGTGCCAGAGCTCGAAGAAGGTCTCGATGTGGTAGCTGTGGGCGGACGGGATGTGGGACGGGATTGAGGAGGGCGAGAAGGAGGAGCATGAGACATCGGAGGCGGCGGCTGTTTTGAAACCAGTTCCATTGGATTATCATCAACGGGGAGAGGATCATTGTTAGTTCCCTGCGCAGCACCGACAATGCTGGCTGGAGGGTTTGTCTGCACGGTAGTGCGGACAGAGCACTTGTCTCGGGTTATTCCACGAGACAGTGCCATTCTGGGGTCATCCAAGGGGATAACGGTTTCATCATCCATCAATTCGTCCGGTCCAGCACTCATGAAGCCGGAGTCATTGTCCAGAGACATGGTAGGCAAGACTGGGCTTGATCTACTTGGCAACCGGCTATCGAAAACTGGAGGTGATGATGGCATGTTGAAAGATGGCTCGAAAAGGCCTTGGTAGCGAGTGTCCTCAGGAGAGGGACCGGCGGCGTCTGTGGTAGGAATGTCATCGCTCATACAGTATGGAGAATTGTATGAAGCGGGACACGAGGCAATGCTCATGCTCGACGACTCCCGCAACAAGCTACCCGTGGGTCGGCTTCGACGGGTGAAGTCGGATGGTCGAGATATGGGGGTGGGTGGACGGACAGGCTCTTCGTGGGAATGCTCAACCGCGAGAGCAGGGTTCACGGGTGTTGGGCGGTGGATTCGTACAGAGGCCGCGGTGCTGGCTGCAACTCGAAGCGAGCTTGGCTGTCTTTCGATGTTCATACCTGACTTTCCGGGCCAGTTTGCTTGATACACCTTGGCTCTCTTCCGGGCTGGGGCCTCTGTTGATTCTTCATCACCACTGCCGTATCCTGACTGAATGGACCCTCTTCGAAGGTTGTTCTGTGAGACGTGTGAAAGCTGGGTCTGGTTGTCGCAGTCCCGCATAGAGGCACTTGAGGACGGGCGAATCATATCACTATGGGGAATGCTCTGTTTGGTGTAGGATTGATGATGAGCTGGTGTTCGACATCCACCAGGTGTTGACACTCGACTGCCAGCGTATGAGTGTGAAGGCGATACCGAGCGGACCGATCCATTGTTGTGGAATGTAGGGAACTCTCGTGGCGTTGAGCCTTCGCTTAAGAGCTGGTGGAATCTCTCAATACCAGATTGATGTATCGGAGATCCGGCATTATCGTTGTGGCTCTGGCTTCTCGAGGTTTCCAGGAGGGCAGGGCTTTGGCGAACAAAATTTGTCCATGATTGGGTGTCAAAGTCGCCTGAATTGTCATTTGTCAACTTCTGATGCTGCCGCATGCTAGCGAAGTACTCACTCTGAGTGACGGTCGGGACAGGCACCAGCCGTAGTTTGACCTCCAATGTCTCTTGGGCACCTTTGGAGAACAGACCACTGAGAGGGCTCTTGCAAACTCGCCCAGTAATCATAGTCTTCGACTGGCTGTTGGGTGTCTCGGGTGTCGATGAGAAGGTGGCCAGCACACCAGAAAGCATGCCTTGTCCGACAAGAGGGGTTTCGAATTCGGAATAGTCATAGGCATAAACGGTATAATCCTTCCCTAATTGACCGACAAGCTCCGGGCTAAACAAGGAACTGTGTAAGTATGCTGTTTTCGTCATCCGAGGGTAAGGAAGTCAAACCTAGCAGACACGATTGCCTGGATGCATGTCTTCAACTCGATCACTCCAACGGGAGTGTTCTCGTCTAGAAAGGCCGTTTGAATGTCAAGCACGTGTGGCCACCGAGCGAGGCAATTGGTCTTATTTTCGTTGTCAAATGTGTAAAGAACTTTCACTGTAGGATAACCATGTTTAGTTGCCACTCAATTAACCTCATTAGAACGGTAGTGAAAAACATACGCCTCATAGGGCGGATATCAATACCGTCCTGAGATTCCATCTCATCAGACTTTGTTGCCCACCATGCAAGACGGTGGATCAAATGCTGGGGTTGAAATGAAGGATAGCGAGTGAAGGATATTCAAGTATGGGGAAATGTATGAGGGTCGAGGTCCGAAAAATGTTTGACAGGTAGAAAGAGGGGGGGGAGAGCGGAGCGAGATTGTCGATTAAAGAAAGCCCTTTCACTCAGGACCGGGGATGCACCAGAAAGTATTAGCGAGCCAGCCGATCAGCAGTGCATTATCTAGGATCTCGTCGACCGGGAGAATGGACAGGTTATGCAGGAGTAGGTAGTGGAGGGGTCTTTTTTTCTGCAGGCCAGGAATGTTAGCAATTGATTTGCATGTCCTCGCAGAGGGAAAGCATAGACACCAGAAAAGGGAAGAAAAAAGAAAAAAGCCAATTCTTACCAATTAAACAGAAAAGAGCAGCAATAGTCTCTCCACTAGCTCTGCATGAGCAGACAGAAGTGGAAGAGAGAAAAGTGAGGAAGGGATGAAGTTAAGAAGCCTTGCATGCGCGGGTCCAAGCTATCTCGAAAGATCTCCAAACAAGCGTGACGCGACGTGACGGCAACCAATCGCGACTTCGGGAAATGGCTGGGAGTTGGTGCCTGAGATCTAAGGTGTTGATATTTTCCTCAGGTGTTTGCCAGAATTTTCACGTGACTTGAGCTCTCCGCCAACTTCAACTGTCACACTGCTGCATCAACGGCATCTCTTGACTTCAACGACCTTTTTATGCCCACCATGTCGACCGCTCCCGAACCCCAGATTCAGTATGTTACTCTATCAATGACTCATAGCTCCGTCCATGACCAATCAGCTAACAATCCGAACAGAGACCTTCTCAACAAGCCGAAGAGCGAGCTCACGTATGTACACCCGTTACATTGGATTTACCCCCTCCCTTCCTATGCGGTCTTTCTCATTATGAGTAATCAATTATCCCTTGACCTCGGGAGCTTCTACCTGATTCTCGGGCTCGCGGGGTTTGCGTACCGCGCCCGCATCTCGGAAACTTTGCGACCGACATCCTCACATTCTTCTGCAAGCTGCGCAAAGCACATATAGCCGAGAAAAAAAAAACTAATCTTGTATCTTGCATCTCAACAGTGAATATGAGGTCGCTCGCGTCGAGGAGCACGAGCTCACCGCCGGTCCTCTGTCTCTCCTCCAGACCGCCACCCGCACACACACCCAGGTCCTGATTTCCTGCCGAAACAACCGCAAGCTGTTGGCCCGTGTCAAGGCTTTTGACCGACACTGCAACATGGTCCTCGAGAATGTTAAGGAGATGTGGACCGAGAAGCCGAAGGGTGCCAAGGGCAAGGGCGTGAACAAGGACCGTTTCATCAGCAAAATGTACGTGCAAACCGTGGATGGATATTCGTCCCTACTCCCTATCTTTGAAACAGTCATTAACTTTGCTGTCTTATCTTTAGGTTCCTTCGTGGCGACTCCGTCATCCTCGTCCTGCTCAGCTGAGCAACTCATCACACTTTCCTCCCGCACACTTCGATTCTCACGTTGACATGATCTTGATATCTTCGATCTACGGGATGATCGATGTCCAGCTATTTGCACAGCATCTCGACCCCATAAACGCTTTCCGTGGGCGAGTTATCATGTAATCGATCTCGATACCCTTTTTTCTTTCCTTTCCCCTCACATCCCGCTTTTCCTCCCTTGCTTCTGGTCCCCGCCAGAACACTGTTGACCGATCCAACCACTGTCTTGATCGGTATGGTTACTTGCCCCAAAGTAACTGTTGCATGTACAAGACTGTTCTGGTTGATCTTGTCTTGTTTTTTGATCTTTCAAGGGGGTGGACTAAAAAAACCTGTTGGCGTTCAGATCTTTGCGCGGGCTGCTAGACCCGTTGTTTTTTTGTAGAGGGAATCCTCGGGCGGCGTCAACCTGGGCAGAGCTGGTTAGCAATGAATGTTATAGAAAGATTTCATCAGACATCAGTAGATTTTCGTAAGCTAGCAAGTTACTGTAGGTCTTGTGAGCCATATTCCCCCTGTGAGCTCGTCATTTGGGAATGTCTCACTCTTGCGAGTTAGGATTCATCCAGCCCCAGCCCCAGCCTCAGAGATGTAGATTATCGTAGCTACTCCCCATACTAGGCACTGCGTACACACAAGTTAGGGTTCGTCTAGCAGGCCCAAGCCCGAGGTAGATATCATTATAGCTTATTCTTCGCCATTTAATATCAACCAAATAAGAATATCATTATCATCAAATGATCATATCAAGCTATATCAAGATACAACCATGAACAAGAAACGAGAGAAAAAAAAAAAAAAGGAAGGGCCAGGTATTTCGCTATGTATACAATCACCCCCGAAAACCCACAACCCATAACACCAAACACATAACCCTAAATACCCTCCGCAAGCCCCGTCAAAAACTCGGACAACCCAAAAGCCCCGGGATCAGGAATCTTCCCAATCCACTCCTCCTCCCCACCAACATAAACACTCCTCCCAAGACTCGCCTTCATAGCCTTTGTAGACTCAGTCCCCTGCTGCGCCGCCGCCGCAGCAACCCTAACATCCCCCGTCTCAAGCAAAGTGTCCACAAACGGCGCAAGCGCATCAATAAGCGTGCGGTCACCAGGCTTAGCAGGGGTGTATTTCCCCAATGCCGCGAACGAAGACTTCAACGCCTTCGCCCACGTCTCGGTGGTGATTGTCGAAGGCGAAGACGTGTTCTGCGCTAGGAGACCGTGGGCTAGGGCATTCAGGAAGATCGCGTAGATCGCGCCGGAGGTCCCGTCCATTACGTTCTCGACGACTGTCACGATTCGCGCGACGGTGCTGACCACGTCGTTTGTTAGGGGTGGGGTGGCGTTGGTTAGGAGGGATTGGATTGCTTCGGCACCGCGCTTTAGGCCGATGCCGCAGTCGCCGTCGCCGACGATTGTGTCGTAGCGGGTTACTTCGGCTTCGGCTTTGATTACGCGCTGGAGGCCGGCGCTTAGCGCTTTTTGGAGGAGGGTTGAGTCGACTATGGTTGGGTTAGTTTTTTGGTTGTTGGGATGGTTCTGGGGGTCGATGTGTTTGGAACTTACGCTGTAGGTTGCTGTGGATGTCTTCGGCCAGATTGGATGTCTTCAGATCGACGGCGTCCGCATTAAGGTTCTTTTCCCAGGTAGAAGTATTGACCGGAGCAGACCATCCAACCGCCTCGGCGGGTGCATCGAGAAGCTCAAGCATGGTAGTTTTCACGCCCAAACCTGGGTCGACCAGCTTCATTAGCGAGATGCTGAATCCAAGGCCGTTCAGACTGGTAAGGAAAGTTCCCTGAATCACGCGGACCATGTTGACCTGGTAATCACGCTGGAGCTGGCGGTAGACTTCATCTGTGATACCGGCGAGCTCGAGCGGGCTGACGCCGCCAAGATTGTTAATCAGCAGCACGAACTGGTCCTCCGGTTTACGAGTGACGTAGCAGCGGTCTGGGTCATTGTGGTCGAGTAGCTGTAGAAGCATTCCCTGGACCAACTCGACAAGATCGAATTTCACGCGGTGCGAGCCAGGCTCGTTGTGGATTCCCATGCCGACTTCGACCTCGCCGTGCGGGATCGTGTCTTCAGGTACACCGCGACCTGGAACATGGACGTGTTCCAGTGATGATCCTAGTGAGACTAGGTTTGCGTTTGCTAGCTGAGCTAGAGCGTAGACGTCATCCAGAGAGCCGCTGTAAAAGGGGATATTAGCATTGCCTTTTTTTTTGTTGTTGTAAATTATGGCATGTAAACATGCGATATGTATTGCAATATCAAACTCACCCAGCTTCAGCCAAAGCACCAACCATCTTCAGAATCAATACACCACCACCAATACCACGACGGCCGACCTTTCCACCCTTCTCACGACCAACACCGACATCATCATTGATAGCAAAGAATTCCGTCTTGATACCAGCAACACGGGACTTCTCCGTAGCCATACCGAAATTCAGTACATCACCGGTATAGTTCATAGGAATGATCAGCACGCCGTTATCAGTGGGGACGCGATCGATCACCGCTCTGCGGATCTGCTCGGCAGACGGCGAGGCAAAAATTGTACCTGCGACCGAGGCATCGCAGAGTCCGTGGCCGACGAAGCCTGCAAATGCGGGTTCGTGGCCGGAACCGCCGCCGGTCACGATGGAGACTTTATTTGCTCTGCGGGGCGCATCTGGACGGCGGAAAATGATCTTATTCTGGCGGTCCAGGGCCAGAGATGGGTTTGTGAGTGTAAGCGAGTTAAGCGCTGTGAGAACCAGGTGGTTTGGGTCGGTGAAGAAATGTTTGGCTGGGAAATGGTCAGATTTGTGGGGAAGATCTGGGGGGATCAGAGGGTGTGGAGAGCGTACTCTGCATTGTTGATCAAAAGTGGACAGTTGGAACTAGTGGATATATTGGAAGAGATCACTGGTTTTTGATCGGGTTTTCGAGGGACTTTAAATGTTTTCTCCAAGTAATCCAAGTAATCCAAGTAAAGGGGACTGTTCGCTTTCGCCAATGAGGATATAGAGGCTCCCCAAGATTCCAAGATTTTTGAAGCTAGTCGACACCAGCGAGAAGCTCTCGGATTGGATTTGAGGGTGTTTGAAGGCGGGGAAAAAGTGGGTTTCTCTGGGGATATGATGTTAGTGTACTTGTATTACTTGTATAGTCATATAGCCTGGGTAAGTATATTGTTGGGACTCACGTATGGATAGTCGGGGGGAGAGGGTGTGGGAGTACAAGGTACGAGTTCAACTGTAGAGGACACCCTCTCCTTTAAGGAACCCGAGTACGTACATCGTGTACATCGTGTACATCGTACAATGAAGTACGTACTGTTCATTTCTTTTTCCTTTTTTCCGCTCACATGAACATCCAAGGCCTGGATCTGCGGTTCGGCTTACCCTCTAGGGATATCCCGCCAGGCACCGCATTCCAGAAAGGCGTCTTCTATCGTCCGAATGGGCGTTTTCACCGCCAGAGAACATTCCTGGAACGTAAGATTCGATGCATCCAGAGAGCTCTACAATGTACTCTGGTCCACTCCTGGTCCACTCTCGCCCGAGTGGACTTTTGTTTGAACCTCAACTGGGTAGGTATGCCGGCATTCCTGGTGCACCTACCACCTCTTACTTGCTATGGACGTTTATATAGATTGATGTATTCCATAACTATCCCATCTTATATAGGATTAATCTCAGCTTCTATTGAGATACTCTCTCGCCATAATACCTATAATATGGTATCTCAATGCCAATGCCAATTACCTGGGCAAATACAAATACTGGGATACCGCAAGTCTCAAGTGGAGACATCATGAGACCTCGAAAAAAAAAAAAGATCTACAACAGAAAACGAAAGGAGCATCCAGCCTCGGATCTGCTGTCAGATCCAGGGGTGTTGTGGGGTCAATATATGTATAGGTCTAGGTCATGGGGTGTTCCTTTGAATATCGTTGATCTCATAGGGTTACGCCTCTCCAATGGGGTTCAAATGGATGACTGTGGGTATCAGGTGCATCCGGCTGTTATTCCGTACTTTTTGTACTTTGAATGATATTCATGATATTCATAATATTATCCTCACGTGTTCTATTATTATCCAATATCCTCAGTTTGTCTAACGCCTATCCTGAGTACGTACAATGGTGGCACGGATTTCCTCTTTGGTCTACCCCTCTACCTGATCTCTCGTATTTTAGTGGCTTTGACTTTTGGTTTAATTAACCATCGGCCCTGGCCGAGGTCAAGTACTCTAAGTGGCTGGGTGGGACCGGAGCTACTCCGTTATTTTCTCTCAGGGTATAATCAATTGCCGAATACATGCTAAATACTTCACTCTCAAAAGAATCAAACATAAATCAAATAGTCTGTGCATTCAGTGAAATAAAGTACCTACTGGCAACTCTCAACATGTAAAAATTATCTCTCATGACACGTAGGTGTATTGATTAGTTCCTTCTTTGCGCTCAATGTATTCCTTCTCAATCAACCTAGAGGGGGAAACGATGTTAGACATGACAACCGGATACGACGGGTAGTAGCGAGGACACATACTTCTCAATCTCTCCCTTAATCTCCGCAGGCTGAAGAACACCCCGGCTCTTAGTAGCATTGATAACCTCTGCGATTAGCTCGGCATGACTAAGAGCTTTGCGACTCTTCATAATGCGCACGATAGCAGCTTGCGTCTCGAAATGACGATCGGCCGCAACCCGCTCGTGCGTCGTCTTGGTCTCCTCTTTGGTCTCCTTCAGCTGGATCTGGTTGATCTTGATGCGCATTTGCTTGTCGCTGAAACTCGTGTTGTACGAGAATTGGTCGCTGGGGTTCACATCCTTGCCCTTGGGGGTCTTGGATAAGACTCGGTACTTGGCGCACGCCAGAGACTGGAGTGTTCGCTTCAATTCCGGGTCCGCTGCATCTTATATTAGAGATTATTCGACTCTTTGGGGGTGTGGTAGATGGTCCACTTACACAATCCGGTCGCTTCTTGGATCTGGGGGTACTGCATGCTTTCGCCATCGGGGATATCGTTAAACAGCAGCAATACGATCGCTTGGAAGGAGCTGACTACTAGGTTCTTCTTGCCAAGGGGGAAGTTTGCTGTCAGCTGACAATGCGCCAGTTGATGTTTCCAAGTGAGCTTGCGGCCTGTATGTTTGTTGTGGTAGAAAGTCTCGAATTTGTTGATCGAGCGTGCAATCTTTGCGGGAATCCGTACGGGGACATCGGGATATGTCGGCCAGGAGGCGGCAGAGAGCACGTTGACTTCGAATTCAAACCGGCCCTTCCGCTCCTCCTGTTGCGACCGTCTGAAGGCCGTCATTTCATCGTTAGCAGTGTCCATGTCGTTGAACATGGACTCGAGGTTATGAGTGAAGTTTGACCCGCATTCTGACCAGACATTAGCCAAAGCGCATAAAAGTATGACCTTCGATGCGACGAACCGTTCTTCAAACGAGCTAACATGCTCTTTTCCGCATCGTTGCTCGCGCTTCGTTTCATCAAGAGACGCCGGGCAAGGTCGTTCTTGTAAAAGGCTTCAAAGACAGCCTTGCCATGTACGAACCGGAAGAGGTCGAGAACTTGGTCAAGTTGCCGATCAAGCTCTGCATCGTCGGACATCAGACTGATTTCCTCTGGATTACGACCGGGTGGCAGCTTGTAACCGCCCTTGAGCAGCCTATCCACGTATTTGGCGATCATTTCACCCGACTTGGGGTTGTCAGTGCCACCTGTAGAGTCCATCTTCTTCCCGCGGTTCATGAAGGCACCAAAGGCTTCGCGGACCGTGTGACCCAATTCCTCGTTCGAGTCGAAGGCATTGGCACAAATGTCATCAACCTTTTCCTTAAACTGGAGCAGGTGAACGACCATGTCAGCCTCCCTTTCTTGATCAAACACGATGCCCTCTCCTTCTTCGATGATATACTTCCTAAATGCAGGTTTCAACTCGAGACTAAGATCTCGCCGGTCAAGCAACCCGTATAGTTGTTTCAAGGCGGTCTTATTTCCGGCTCGCATCAAACTAAGCACTTCACTTTCGCTGGTCAACACGTCCTTTTGTTGTGTAACTAGAGTCTCATCCAGGAGCTCGGACAGTTTGAGCTTCGTGCTTCGATTGAAAGAGAACAGCCCGCACCGTTCGACTTCACGTTCGATCAACTGGTGAGCATTCTCGACGTATGCAGCCAGGGTTCCTGCTGCTTGTTGTTGAGACCACTCCTTCACAAACTCCTCGGACTTGGCCATGAATAAAGGCTCAAAGTCACTCGCATAAACATCGAGGCTGTGGAAAAGCTCCATGGCCTCTCTTAAGAAGAGATGAATCTGCCAATGCCTTTGTAAATCCGCCTCGATCCGCCTCGATCAAATCGTATGCTCCTTTCAAAATCTTTGGCTTCAAGCTGGCGTCGGAGAAGATGTATGACCGGAATTGAATCAATCCCATTTCACGGATCACCGGTTGTTCTTTAGAATGCAAGAGGAATGACTGGTCGAGATAATAGAAGATCCAACGAACAGTAACCTGGGGGGAGCGGAACAGTTAGCTGTGAACCTCCATTCAAGATATGTCCTCGTCACATACCAGCCTCGAGTGCCAGGCGGACCATGCTTCAATTACAGTCCGTAGTGTACCAACATCAGTGCTACCTCCAGCTCTGGTCACAAGATTCGTGCGCATTTTCCCATTGACAAACTCTCTGCATCGATCCTGAAGTTTCTTGGCCAACAAGGCCGCCCGCTCCTGGCGGCACACATTCTCCCCGCCTTTGTATAGCTCTTCCAGCGAGCTCTCGGGTTTCCTGCCATCAAAAATAGCGGTTAGAGCCGCATCCAACTGCGACCACACCTTATCGAAATATGATTCCTGGTTCAACCGTGGTCCGGTGCGGAGGTTCTTAACGACGAGCTTTTTCGCGCCGGTGTGAGGAGAAAAGTTGTTCTGGCGTGTATTGGCGTTCAAGCCTTGGGATCTGATGGGACCGTTTGGCCCAGACAGTCCCCGACCAGGTGCGCCGTTCTTAGGCGGGGAGCCGGAAATCGGATACATCTTATGTGGGACCGTTTGTGTGAAGGAAGGCCGTGACGGAGACGGTGACAGGCGAGAACGCTTATTTGTTTGCGAATCAAGACTCCGGTCGGGTGAATATCGTTGGGAGAGGAGCTCGGAGATGGTCTGTTGTGCCGGCTGCGACTCTCCTTGATCAGAAAGCTTCCTCTTGCCGATCGATTGGCGCTTACCGCTCTGCTCGGTGTCGCCTCTCGAGTTCTGCGGCATCTACCCGGTTCAGCCCGACTGGGATTTTTGGGACACTCTCAATATGTTGGAGATGATGGAGAAAAGTGGATTCGAAAGACGAGGGGAATTGACGTTGCGCGCTTGGACTTTGGCTCCGCACGGCGATAAGATACGGAGCTACCAGCCCTGACTGGCGATGAACCGGACATGAGCTGGTCAGGTGGACTTTTATGAGGGCTTTGATAAAGTAGCTCTGCGTGTTTTTATTCACATGCTTTGACTCCTTAACTATATCTTATTAGGTATATGTACATGTATCAACTTGCACATTTGCCTCCCAGCGACATCCATACCGACCTGGACACTCTATCTGATATATAAGAGGAATTCAAGTTCTAGTGTAATGAATCCTTGATTCTAGGTATTTACAGCTTACATATATAGTGTAAATAGTAGACAGCTTGTGACTGGCAACTTTTGTCAAAATTTACTGGCCCATGGTAAATCAGCCGCCCAAGCTACGTGCTCAATCTGTATAAGATTGATGGAATGACGTGACCTGGTTTTGGTCGCAGGTAGAAACGGGAGGAAACAATTACAGAGGTTGAGGGCCAAGATAGGGAGATAGGGCCGTTTCTGGCGGCCAAAGTGGTTATTTTCGTCATTTTCACAGGTCCTCAATGTAGTAGTCCATATCTTACACTCACACCGACTTTCGATATAAGGCACGGCCATAGGTCAAATGCCTGATTTTGTAGGGTTAATATCATTCCCCAATACGCGTCCTCAACTGCCAGCTGCGCTAGTGCAAATAATAATAACATCTTGGAAGTAATCTTGAAACCGACAGCCATATGCTTGAAAATGCGCCGCTTTTCGAAATGTTTCAGTCGACAACTAGATTTAACGGAGAGCTCCTCCGCGCTAAGCGCCATATTAAATTTGACGTGGATTCTCTTGCAGGGGCGGCCTGTGAATCTGTCGGTCGACACTTGAATGACCTAGCCTCAATTACAAAACTTGCCGAGGGGGGCTTCAAGCGTATCTTGCAAGTCACCTTCAATGACGGATATGCAGTTCTTGCAAGGCTGCCGTACAAGACGACTGTTCCGAGCCATTATGCAGTGGCCAGTGAAGCTGCTACACTCGCACTTCTACATGTCTATAGGGTTCTAGTCCCAAAAGTATTTCCGTATTCTCCAGATCAGACAAACGCCGTTGGAACCGAATATATGCTGCTTGAAAGGCTTGAGGGAACACCCCTAAGTGACCAGTGGTTCTCTATGGATATCAAAACTCAGGTTAAAGTAATGAGACAGATTGTTGATATGGAGAGACGGTTTAAGAGCATCTAGTTCCCAGAAAGCGGAAGTCGAGCCCCTGGTCGAGATAATGTATCTATACAGAGTTCCTACGGACGTGATTAAGAATTATTTTTCTATATCTAGCTGTTTTCACTTTAGGAGGGCCATTTGACCTTTGGCCGCTCTGCTTCTTCGCATCTCATAGCCATACATTACAAAACAGACTCGGCTAATTAATGAATGCCCAATGACCGAATTCGAAGATCTAATCAGGCTTCAAACGGTGAATCCTATTCAGGTTTATATCAAGCAGGTTTATTAAAATAGAAAGGAGTTTATTAGTAAAAATAAAACCTACTTTGAAGGTTATTATGCCGTTCATGATATGCATTCAAGTGATGCAACGCTGGTAAGTACACAATCGTCAATGTAATATCCATATGTTTCTGGTGAAGCTTTGTTTTCTGAAGAAGAGTCCGAGAGTGTGCAAGGGAACCATAAAGAAGGCGTAAACTCATACGAAAAAAGCAAAGACCAATCAATCAACACGTGGAGGACTCCTCGATTTCTTCCCCATAGGACTGGCGCTTGTTCTGAAAAGAATTCCAATATTAGCTTCTTGTTTCTGTTTCCCTACTGCACCGTGCAGCTAGGTTGATTACGGGTGACATACGATCGTCGGCGCTCGCCTTCTTTCCGGAATCCTTCAATGATCTTCGCCATCTCTTTGCGAGAAGCATTGGCATCGACCTTTCGCCCTCCGAGACTCATACTCACTTTCTCGTGTGCGCTCGCCATCAGCAACCGCTTCATGAGAAGATGTCGCATGTTCATACACACGTAGACGCCGCAGTCGCTGCCGCCGTCTTGTTGGGGTGAGTCGTTCAGATGTAGGAACCTAATGGGCATGTTTAGGAGGTATCCAAATTTGCGAGTCACCGTGTCTGCCTCCCAGACGTTTCCTTGGTATAGCGAGTCGTAGTGGAATGCGATGCGGTCGACGACTGAGATCAACAGGAGAGACCAGTGTGTGCCTCCTTCTGCTTGGGAGACGTTGCGACAGTCGTTTATGGGGAGGAAGACGTGGGTGGCTCGAGTGAAATCCGGGAGTGCTTCGCGGAGGGTGCGTGGATCGGGGGTCTGGAGGATCATGAATGACATGCTGGGGCGGAGAAGGATGATATTGGAAGATTGGTATCGTGAAAGAAATTCATGTTCGAGATATCTAGAGCAAGAAAGTCGGAGATCAGTGCCATGCTCGGTACTGTGAAGTATGTTGGACCGGCTCTAGGGACTTACTCCTCCCAGAATGAAATGATCTATGACAAATTAGCTCACATGTCCCAGCTGGAAGGATTATCTCGCCATATAAACCCACGTTGTCTGTGAGCCAGTCGTTCTTAAGAGTTTGCATATCCTCTCTTGTCACTGCGGTGTTCATTAGCCCACCAACCCTTTCTCGCTTCGGGGATAGATTCCATACATCGCACGTCGTAATCTAAGAGCACCCAAGGACAACTTGTAAGCAAACCGTATGCGATCAGCAAGGTGACAGATTCTGTTTTCGACACTTACAACTCAAAAAGGCATCATCTGGGTTCAACTGCGCAAGTCAGTACTCGCGTCGCTAATGTGAATCGCGCCAAACTCACCTTATCGCCAAACCGCCCGCGCACCTTGCGCAACATGATGGCGATATGATATGTCGAAGTTAATCACAAACCCAAAGTCAAACCGCTAGAATATGAACACTGCGAAAGGCAGAGGCAAGCTATACACTGCGCCACAATCGAGAACGCGCAATACGTGCTAAGTTCCCTGAGTTCCTCAGAAAGCCAAGCCAGACCCCACAATTCGCGGTTGAGATAAACGGGGCTGATCTTTGTGCAGAACTTGAGCACTTGGCCCCCGCGCACAATGTAAATGGGATGTAATCTGCAACCTCGTTACAGTGGCAAGAGGCGAAAGAGACGGCAATATCCCGAGTGAGAGGCTCGAATGTGTCTCCCCGTTTCTGCGCTGGCGAAGTGGAAGTGGGACCGGTCGGGACCTCGGGATTGGGCGCTTCGGAGGAGGAGGCCGTCAGCCTTATAGGTGGCGAAGAAGGGAGGGTGGATTGAATGCTGGAATCTATTTTTAATTGCGCTTTATGGACAATGAGGAGTTGTGCCAAAGGTTAAGAGTAAGTAGACTACAACTTAAGCAGTGGTGGAAGATCACCCGAGTTGGGGAGGTTAGGCCGAGGCCGCATACACATCACAACTCGTACATTCCACAAACCCTCAGCGTCATCATTATCACGAGTCCTAGGCCGTTTGACGTGGCACAGCTAAACACGGGTTATAAAATCTTTGATGTGCTCTATGGGGTAAAACCACCGGGTAACATCCGCCAGCGCGAGTTGGGCCACGACATTGACGCCAATATAGCCCTACAAATTTAGTAAAATATATAAAAAGATGTATATTCCCAACACTTGGTCTGACATCTATTAACATCACAGGCAAGACATGCGGTTCCTCATCGCAACGGCCCAGGTGGCCTATGCCAACTGTTATGAACGAGATCCAACAGGCGCTGGGGGACTCGGCGGCGGATTTCCAGGCTGTGTGGGAGAGCAGCGCTGATATGAAAAGGAAAGCGGCGAATCTGGTACTGTTGATATAGATTCAATCTTATGATTTGGTATAAAACTGCAGGGATTTTATGATTTTATTAAAGAATTTAATTCATAAGAAAGAGGGGTATCTAAACGTGCCTCCCAGAGCTCCAGTAGAAGAAGAGGTTCAGACGATGCGATGAGATGGGAGGAAGGGAACGGAGATCAAACGGAATGGACAGAGATCAGATAAAAACAACGGGAAGAGGAAAAGCAACTGAAATGAACAGAGACAAGAAAAAGTCCATAAATCATCAGTATGAGATGACGTTGAATGAAGCAAAAGCAGATCAAAGCAACAAAGCAGCAACATTGCAACTAGTGTAGTCACTTTTGTTTTGCCCTAGGTCTTCAGGGGGTATTATTTTAAAGAAATATGAAAACAGATCATGAAAAAAAAAATTCAGGTAAAAGAAACATGGAATATCATCCTGTAATATCCTGTAGTTAGTATGGAACCTTTTTGTGTTTTGTTGTGTTCGTGCAGATCTTTGAACAGACATTTGGCGAATACATCGAAAACATGGCGTGAGGAGTTTTGATTCAACTGCCGAGTCGGGCAAAATGCTTGTTCCAAATCCACCCAACTGTTCTGGTGGCATCGTCCTGATTGCGGGCAAGCCAGAGCTCGCCCTTCTCGCCTATGACGTCGAAAATATCCCCGGAGGCGTAGGTCAGATAGGGATATCCGCCCTCGGTACGAGTGTCGATGTTAAAGTCATAAACACTCGCCGCGCAGAACAACGCCGCAGGACCCATGGGAGGGGAGCTGCGTTCAAAGTGCCCATCCACGACAGTATCACTTGGGGCATCCGACATGGGCATGGCGGACGAGAAGAATCCCGAGTATCGGTCAGTCGGGGAAGTCGGCGCATTGCTCGAGCGCGAGGAGCTGTTGATCACATCCTCGAGGAAAGGTGTGTCTAGACTGAGTCGCGGTAGGCTTGGGAAAGGCTCGACGTCGCTGGTCCTGACAGGGGCGGGAGAGCTGGTGACTTGTTGCAGCAGTTGGCCGGGAGTGTCTGGGATCATTCGGCCAGATAGAATGGAATCAGCCCGGTAACGGCTGCTGCGGCTGGAGTGGGTTTCCATTTGGGGAGACTGGAATGGCTGGCTACCGACGCTGAAATCCCGGGACATGTTTGGTGAATCACCGGTCATAGACCCAGGTCGCGCATTTGAGCTGTTCACTGTAGAAGGACGGCGAGGCGACATGGGGTTTTGCTGCTCACTCGGTGAAAGGGGGACCAAATTGAGCGAATGAGCCATCATCGACCCATTGCAGGAGCTTAGCTCCCCCATCCGTGCCTCCATCAAAGTGTGGTCACTATTGAAGTCGCTGATGAGCCTGTTAAGGTCATTGGGGAATAATTCCACATGAGCACCAATCTTTTTCTGTAAAATACTGTACCACACAGTTTGAATTTCGACAAAGTTCTTTAGGCACGCCGCCATCAGTTTGGAAGTCAACGCATATAGTTTAGGCAATTCATCCTTCAAAGTATCGTTCAAAGCTAGGAACTGTTCGCCCTGCTCGGTGGTCTTCTTATCAGGTTTGTCGCCACGGTCTTTGATGGCTTTGTAGCGTGCATATTCCGGGAGTCGCTTGTCGCGCTTCCGCATGACTCGCTGGGGTGCATTGTAAAGTCCTAATAATTCAACCATCGGATCGATGACCGTTTTGCGAACGACAGCAAGCTGCAATAAGCGTTAGTATTCAGTTCAAAATGTAAACACGATATAACATACATGTTCTGGGAGAGCAGTCGACACAAGTTCCTGAACTGTTATCTTGAACTGATGCCACTTGCTCTCCAACTGTGGATATGGAGAAGGCGACATCCCAATAATCTCTTCGATCGAATCGGCATAGTCGTTGAACTGGTTCACATAGAGTTGCACATCCCGAGAGTAACTCTCAGCGTCACGCATGACAACCTGCAACTGGAAATAGCCATCGCTAAGTTTCTGCGCTAGCAAATCATAGGTTTTATCTTCAAACAAATCGGAGAGGCCAACTTGCTGTCTGAACTTCTCCGTGCGGCGACCAAAGGCTTTAGAAAGACCGGCACGCACATCTGATTGGTTGCGCTTTCGACCGACAGCTTGACCAACAAGGTCTACTCGTTTTTTCAGTTCGTTGATACGATGAGAAACATTTGTCACCTCTTCCAGGGCATTGGCAATTGCCGCTCGGTCCGGGTGGTCGTTTGGCGTTGACTCCAATAGGTCGCGGAGAATAAGGGGATACTTCAGGATTCTTTGCACCGGTTTAACGAGCAAAGAGTCCAAATCCCAGGCGGTCGTGAGATCCATAGCACCCTTCTGACATTCGCTCAGCCAAAAGCCCACTTTTGGATTACGCTGCACGACCTGAAGTTTCTTGTTTGCAGCATCATGGTTCTTCAAGTAGTCGGTGTACACCTTTTCCATCTGCGTCATGTGGGTGACAAAAATCTGACCAACAGATGTCGCACGATCCTTTTGAAGCTCAGACATCCCTGCAAGCTCGGTTACTTCATCAGATTCTGGAGTTTTGGACTCGGCAGGCTGATTGTTGCGCTTTCGCTTGCTGGTCCATCGCAGAGCCTTTGGTATGACGTATATGCTTTGAGCTGCTTGTTTGAGATCATACAAGAACTTGTCGGAGAAGGCTGCGACCTGATCGGAATTGCCGAAGAGAACCTTAACATCATCGGGATCCAATACCGTGAGCGAGGTCCTCTTGTAGATGTCCTCAATGATTATCATATCATGACCAAAGGTATGTTCCGTATCAACAAGTTCTTTGATGATGTGGCGCCGCTTCTTAAGACGTCGTTGTTCTGGAGAAGGCGAATCCTTCGGCTCAACACGAAAGGTTTGCTCAGTGGACGGAACAAGGGAAGTAGCGGAGGAGTCAGCGGCCACAGTAGATTGAATAGACTCTAAATTTCGGAAAGAAGAGTCCTGGCTGCTGCCCGGGCTGTGCCTCAGACCTCTAGGAGCAGCCTGTGTGCTGTGATTGAGTCCAATGTAGCCCGATGGCTGACCTCCAAGAGGCTCGTTATCGGCTGTGTGCGTCGTTGTTGAGGGCGGGGGTAATGCCGGTGAAGAATAAACATGAGACTGAATCTGCTCGTTGGAAGCTTGGATATCAACCGAGACCCCAAGGCCGTTATTCATACTCGATGTACCGGCGTCGGGGTGTGCCGAAGGCACCAGACGGGGCGTGAGCACCCCTTCAGTACGCATGCCATCTGTTTCGGTGTTAGGAGTCAAGACCTCATCTTCAGCCGCGACCTGCATCCAGTCCATGATGGAGGGAGATGCATGTTCCCAATCATCACGTCCAACCAAACTAGCCGTCTGTGAGAGTCTATCTGATGTTTGGAAATCCTTGAATCCTGGCACGACAACTGGGTCGTCAGTCAGGCTATCGGGTCGTCCATCTGTACGTGTATTGGTGGGATGAGATCGAGGCTCGGATGGGGGGGTGGATTGATGAGCCAGGGTGGTGGCTCCTCCCTCGCGTCAGCTCCTCCAGGTAGAGCTGAGTGACACGCTTCGAATCCCATCTGCCCAATCTAGCCAAGCTTGGTGGAGTAGAGAAGGCATTGGATCGGAACTGCTCAGATGTCTGAAGTGTATTCGGTCCCATTACACCGTGGTCCTGAATTGGAGCAGATGGTTCATCGTCCGCTATTGAAGGTGGCCTTGTTGAGACAGCCGAACAAGTTTCAGTTGGTGGTTCTGTTTCACGGCCTTGTAGGAGAGAATCATCTCCACTCTCGTCACACTGCTCGTCGCAGGTTGAATGTTGGTTTTGTCCAGAGGACCATGAGCCCATGCTCCACCGGTTGTGAAGATGGGTCCCATTTTGAGCCTGGTTTATTAATACACGCTCAGGATCTTGGGTATTGGTGCTACTAGATGAGTTGTAGTAGGTCGTATCTCCAAGCATAATACGGATGGACTCCCTGTCGTCGTTCTCTGAAAGGCTGCAATCAGGTTCGTCGCATGAGTCGTCACTCGGGCTGGACCCGCGGA